GCAGCCATATCAATAATGTCCTTCAATGTAAACTTTTTTATTTCCACTGTTAAGTGAAATAATTGCATTGCATGTTTCTAAAAGTTTAAGAATCCACTAGATCTCATTTTTTAAGCTTGTGTTATTATTAGCACTTACTCGTTGCGACAATTCCCAAACTGTCTTGTAGAGATCTCGGATTTCTTGCGGAATGCGTTCAATATTTTGAATCGATCCTTTGTTTTTAATTATTTCTAATTTCATATCATCATCCCATAAGTTGAGATGCATGAGGTCATTCATAAGATGCATATTGAAGACCTTCAAAGAGATTATATAACCCTATAGGCAAAGAAAATGTTGTTAAGAGTAAAGCAGAGGATAAAAATCATTTCTGGGATAGTCCGCTAAAAAACGTATCAGTAGAACCTTGAAACTTCACCTGGAAACTTCCAGATAAGACATTACGGGTGTATACATTACTAGTATAAGGTTCAATACTTTCATTGTTGCCGAGTATCTGAGCGGTTGAAGCAGTAGGCATTGGTGCCAATAACAAGCTATTTCGAATGCCGTACATTGCAATCTTCTTACGTAAAGCTTCCCAATCCCACTGATCTGTCGGTGTCACACCCCACATATCAAACTGCAGAATCTAAAATAAAAAGCTTGGCATTGAATTTTATGGATACGCATTATTATAAAATATGAAATTTAAGGATTAACGTTAAAAGTGAAAATTTTCTAAAAACTATAGAAAGGTACCACAAACATGACAAAAAAAACATAAAGATTATTAAGTACTAACTCCCTTACTAACAGGTGAACCTTCGTAGCTTTCATACGGACCTTGTTCCTGCGCAAGTTCACAAGAAGCTTCAAGTGCTGCATAATACATGGTTTCAAAAATTCGCTTATTAAGATCACGAGCTTTCTCACTAGTAAATGGATACCTGAAAAACCAAAACACTCTGCAGGTTCAATTTTATTAACACTGTGCTATCAAGATAGAAGTTAAAAAGAAAGAAAACCGCATAATGATGAAAGCATCAGCCAGGCCTTGGACACCAATGCCAATCGGACGATGTCTCTTATTAGAAAGCTCCGCTTCCGGCACTGGATAATAATTGCGATCAATGACTTTGTTCAAATTTCTAACTACTACTTTTGTAACCTGAAATGCAAACACACTCTCTATGTGACAAAAGTTCATAATAAATTTAAAATTCAGTCAAAACTGGTTCCTTTTTTATGTATACATACCTCATGCAACATGCTGAAATCGAATGTCATCTCTCGCGTAACAAAACGATTAAGAGCAATAGATGCCAAATTACACACAGCAATTTCTTCACGAGAAGAATATAGAACTACTTCCGTACACAAATTGGAACACTTAATGGTACCCAAGTTCTGCTGGTTAGTTTTTCGATTGCAAGTGTCCTGTAATTTCAAGTTTCATTTGACTTCATAGCTCCTCTACTTACAGCCATATTTCAAAAAATTCTTTTCATTAACAAAAATGCTCAGTTAAAATGACGTGCAATTGGAGAAATATATAAATTGCTTCGCAAACTGCTTCAAAGAAGAATTAAATAAAAGTGAATCAAGGATCAGCTTAGTGATCTTTGAGACTGACATACCATTACCTTGTAAACCATATATGGCACACCAGTTTCTATCTGAGTAAAAACGATTGCTTCCCATAGTTTTCTAGCAGGTACTTGCTTTCTGTACCGACCTTTTTCTTCATACCTATAATCTTTTAAATTCAGGATTTAAAATCACCTTGTGTGATCTTTCTCTTACACGAATGTGAAAATATGGAAATAACTTCTCTTACTTTACATATAGTTCCTCGAATGTTTCGCCCCACGAATCTTCCAACCCTGGACATTCAGCAGGACACATTAGAGACCATACTTTGTCGTCGCGTACACGCTCCATGAAAAGATCCGGCACCCATAAACCAAAGAATAAATCACGACAGCGTTCAAGTTCATCACCCACATTCTTTCTTAGTTCTAAAAATTCGAAAATATCCGCATGCCACGGTTCCAAGTAAACGGCAAATGCACCTGGTCTCTGCAACATATATTTTCTGTTTCAAGACTCACATCCATTCAACATGTAAAAAAGCAATGAAAGAACTTGGTAATTAGTATATCAATGTCGAAAAAAAAAAACAAAATTTCTAGACAATTTAAGAAATGTAATAACCTTATTCCCACCCTGATCGACATACCGTGCTGCATTATTGAACACCCGAAGCATAGGCACCAGGCCATTTGAAACACCATTTGTCTAAATAATGAGAAATATCTTGCATCAAAGGTCCACTCCCTTAAAACTTCAAATTCTAAAACGTATTGTTAGCCAAATTACTCATAAACAGCCAGAGTCTGGAGTAAAAGCACTCGCAGTACTTCTTTTTCTTCATTTTGGTGCCAATTACTGTAGTGAATTAACAATTCTCTAAAACTTATACAATTCGAAACGTGATAGCCAATTGATTTAAATTTGTAACATTCTTAATAACCGTCACTAAGGACATACTCCAGCAATTGGCGAGCCAGTAGCACGTATGCAGTGCACATTTAAGCCAATTCCACCAGCGCTTTTTGAAATCAATGCACATTTCTTCAAAGTTTCGAATATGCCTTCAATACTATCTTCAAACATCGTCAGCAAGAAGCATGAACTCATTTGTGGCGTGCAGGTGCCACTATTAAAAAGCGTCGGTGTTGCATGTGTAAACCATCTTTGGGACATCAAATTGTAAGTCTGAAATAAAAATTTGCATTAGCGACAAAATTACAGAAAATGAAGCACCAAATATTCAATCAGATTTTTGAAATTATCCGATATTTAGAATTTGCAAGACATACAAGCTTAATGTAATATTATATTACATATAAATATGGCGCATCTAAAATTATTAAAATAATATAATTAATCATACCTTAAGAGCAGCCTCAATGTCTTCGCCATGAATTCCTAGAGCAACTCTCATTAACATATGCTGTGGACGTTCGGCTATTTCTCCATTGATTTGCAGAAGATACGAACGTTCTAACGTCTTTAAACCAAAGTATGTGTAGCAATAGTCACGTTCGTGAATTATTGCTGAGTCGAGAATCTAAAAAAACGACACCTTGCTGAATGAAGGTCGAGAATTCATTGAAAATAAACAAAACATTATGCAGAAAGAGTCCATAAGATATAAACTATTTTGCGAAAATCATTTATCAACCCTCTTCATTCGCTGCTGTTACCTAACTTTAAAATCATGAAATTTTTGAGACTGCTAGATTCCTGAAAACTTTGTTTGCTAAAAGCGATGATAACAGTAACCTTACACGTTAATACCCTTCTTAGTTTACATTCTTTAATCAACTTGAAACTTAACTATCATATAACCAACTTACATCAGCATTATTTTGGACGATATGGAATAATTCCTCGCTAATCAGTGCCATAGGTCGACCAGAGTTCGGATATGTAGCATTGTATAATTTTCTGGAGACCTTCGAAAACAACTGCAACAAGGATCTTATTTTGAAAGTTTTCAAATGTTTCAAAGAACAAAACACATCTTTCGTAGATGGTATTGTTGACAGAGGAATTTCTACACCTTGGAGGTAGAAGTTTTCCTCAATTACATAATACATCTTAATTCTTTTGATTAAACTAAATCATTTAAACAGAAGGTCTTCCTTAAATAAACTAGTTCAAATAATTATTATTAACCGAAAATATACGCCGCTATTACATTTATCATTCATTATTACATTCGAAAATAACCTTTTCAGTTTTCTTATGCAAATTAGAGACGGCAATTCGAGATGCCAAAGTCGCATAGTCAGGATGTTTAGTTATCATGTCAGCTGCAATTTCCGCAGCCAAATTATCCAACTCAACAGTCGTTACACCTTTGTATAAGCCCGCAATCACCTTTTGTGATATTTCGATCTAAAAAGCCAGGGGCGATATGATCTTTTAATTCGATAAGACTCTGAATTTTCAGATGCCATCACAGTGTTATTTAGAAAATTATATGAGTGAGCTCAAAAGTCAATAAACAATAAATTATGTTTTACATGATCTACTCGATCCTGGCTCAGGCCATAACAAAGCTTCATAATCCGGCGAGCAATTTTATCAAAAGAAACAGCCTCGTGTCGTCCATCTGAAACATATACGATACAAATCATTACTTATAGATGTTACATATCTTATATTTGTCAGTTATCAATTTTCATCGGTACTTAGTTTATTTATGAGCTGAAGAATAAAGATTCTGCGTGATGTACCTCGTTTAATTACGTAAGAATTGGAGACTCGTTGGTTAGGTTGCACCATTGTAGCTGAAGATTATACCTGACTGATTAGCTGATTAACTGAAATACTCCAAATGAAGATAATCCGGACTATCAGCAATTCCTTCACCGTGTAGTAAGCATTCAAAAATTCAAACAAAACAGCATAAATATTCAAATACAACAATTTTCTCAAATACAATAATTTCTACAACACTTTCATAGTGATCTATCAAAGTGTTGTAGAAATTCCGCTTTCGAGAATTTAATTTCTTAAGATCGATAAAGTGTGAGAGTTCCAATACGAGCAATCAGTTCACTGCATCATCATAGAATGGAAAGCGCTGGAATAGAGCGCACGACTGCACAATCCTTTCTGCTCATTTTGAAATTCAACCTACCCGCCAAAACGATTCCACCGTATATTCTCTCTGCAACTCTTCACCTATATAAAGGAAGGGACATCCTGATACTACACAAATCAGAGACGAGACTTACGGTATTAAAAAGGATGGCTGATACAGTGCAAGGTTAACCTTACCAATATGTTATCTCTTAAGAAAATTCCCAAAAGTTGACATTCCTGTTGCAATACGGAAATGTATCAATGTCGACCACAAATTCCAACAGGTAACCTTTGTTGCATGCAGTAACCTTTCTCAATATCTCTCGTTGCCTATTTCTTCCAAGGTAAAAGTGCGACCGCTCGTTGATTAATCCAACCAAAAGAACAGGATCTATTCATTACGCTATCAGAAATGTCTTATCAAACTTATCTCCTTAGCGCCAGCAAAAACGATCCATATGGAACCGTATAAATTTAAATTTGATCATAAAAGCATCGTCAACTCTCTATTTCTGCATATTTATTTTGGAAATGATTCGATTAGGCCAACACCATCCACTAACGAAGGACGTTAAAATTCAAATGAACAAAACTTTCCAACAAAATCTCTTAACGTTAACCCGATTCCGATACAATAGGAGTTAACATAAGCAGTGCACACAGTGGGGTAAAGTTTCTATGGAATAAATCATCTCGAGGAATTAAGACCTCTGATCCGATGGTTCTCTTCGAGATATTCCAATATGATCCTGCCAAGACTGTTCAAACCGTATGTTAACGTTAAATCGTAAAGTATATCGATAAGACTGTGTTAAAACTTCAAAAATATCAACTGATATTTCAAACGACTTGTAATCCTTAGACAACTAACTCAATTACATTATGGGATTATATCCGCCGAATTCGGTTAGTTTCGAGAATTTAACAATTGTCTATCGTTTATTCCCGAGATTCGGACTACTTTCAACTAATAATAGAAGAGTTAGAGCCCACAGATTTCAAAGGCCCAGCGTATTTAAGAATCTTGGTTTATTGAAACAACAATAAATGGAATTTTTCTAGAATTTATTGTATTTTGAAAATGAAATAGAACATATAACTGCCATAAGCTTAAAATATCTTAACAAGTGCAATTATCAAAAAACGGAAATAGTAGGCTGACACGCTGTACATTTCGCATTCGTTTATAAATCCATAAGATCAATTTCCTTCGTACACTTCCTTTCATTGTTCATTTTCTATCCTCTCCCTCCTTACAAAGTCCTTATAAAGTGCTGAAGTTTCTTCATAATTTTGTAAAATTTGCATCCCAAGCATTAGACACTTCCCTTTAAAAATTTTACAATTGAGATTAACTGCTGTTATCACCACTTCTGCTTGAAATAACACTGTGTGTTTTGATCACTGTTTGTCAGTCTTTACTTCCGGCATAGAAACGCGCAAATGAACACCAGCTTTCTTCAAATCCCAGGGCTGCGGTGTTGGACTGGGATCGCGATCATCGCTCAGATAGCTTCCATCTTCATCTCTAATATCATTTCCATAATTAGCACTTGCGAACTTTCTTTTAAGTGGGCTGCAATCTGAGGAAATTATTGACTGAAAGCGATGATCAGAATTTCATTCCTCACAAACAGCTTACTCGTACACGATGTAAGATGTTTGAATTGAATTAGAGAACTTAATATTCTCGGTCAATCAGGTTTTTATGATCAGATCGGCATTATTTTCTTTCCATAGTTGTCATCTTACATTATTGCTACTGTCACTACAGTACTGCTACCTATCTATCCAGAAATTCGAGTCACTTTAAAAGTTGCTGAATTAACCGAAACTATACTTTCAGTTCCCTATTTTTATATCCGCTACTTTTCATTCTTCTTGATCTGAATATAATACAATTCTTACTGAAGGTCTTCACGATCAGCTGCCAACGATCCAGTACCAGATAACAAATCAGTAACAGTTTTAAATCGTTTTGCTCCACGTCCACGAGTCTTAATCTTGTGTTTTCTTGTACCGACACTAATCACCTTGTCATCTGCCGGTATTGGTGAGCTACCCTTCTCCTCTTCCGCTGTTTTTACCGGTTCTTCATAAAATCTGCAAAAGAAATGAATATATATACCAGTCGGAATCATTTCAATTCATATCCATCCTGTTTTAGGGAATACACCGGTTTCTAGAATAATTCGTCTTTCTCGATCATACCTTGTATCATGCTCATAATCCCATTCCAGTTCGTTACCCTTCTCATCAAAGATATTTAATCCGGGTCGCACTCGATTTCTTCGATTCATCCATTTATAGGTGTAACCATCTAAACGAGAGTACATTTTTCAAGGTTAGAAAGTCTACGGCAATCACAAAATGTATATACGAATAGATTAGATGAATGTATTTTCCTAACTTTTTAACTACGAACAAAATGACTCCCGAAAATTTCCAAAAACTCCATAATTTTTGAATGTTAGAAGACAACAGACAAATAAAAAAAAGAAATAATAAAATTCATAACTGAGTTGTTACCTGGATCCACAGAATCTGAAGTGATTTTTCGTCGCCTATCCATAGAACTCCTGCGGCCCTTCAAAAGAATTATGAAATTTTAAACGGATAATTATCAAAATTTTTTGCAAAAAACCGTACATTAAATAAAACTACGCATCATCATTTATAACAACTCATTATTCGACGATCACCTTAACCTTCCTTTTTCATCTCTTTCTTTTTCATATCGTTAACATCCTCGTCCTAGTTATTTCAAAAAATGATGAGACGTTTATTACCTCAATTTTCCATTTCCCACTAAATTAAATGAAGTTGTATAAAATTCCCGAAGAATAGAAGGAAATTTGAAAAGTAAATTCTTACTTTTGCTATATCTTCTCTCAAACTGAATCGCAATATAATCAGCCATTTCTGTCCAACATGTTTCGTTATTACACGCCATTTTCCTACAAAATTAACATTTAGTTTCCTATATTTCATGGAAATTGCAATTCTAGCATACAAAAAACACAGCAATAGTGCCCCATAATTTTCGACATGCCATGATAGAAAGTGTTTTGGGGAAACCTAAGCACCCCTCATGATGTAGTTAGTTATGGTTCACCTATATAGAAATTTTTCACTACACTATTTCGTTACATAAAAAACCTTTTTCCTTCTCTCCTCTAAATTCGAAATTATAAATACTTCGCACTTTTTAAATGCATGTTTCAGTGTAGCCATCAAATGACCTAATTCTCCACCTTTTTCCAACCACGTAACCCACTGAATGATAGTTCAAAACAAACTCACCAGGTGGTACTTCAACTTGATCAACCTCCACTTCAATTACATTTGCTTCTGTGTTTCCTTTATTCGACGAGGACCCTAAGATAGTATTTTAAATTTTATCAAAAAATTCAAATTGTCTAAATTTAGCACACAATTTTAAATCTTCGTAGATCTTGACATGATCTTTTCTTACATAAATGGTAGTTCCTACTTCCCAAATTTACTAGAATCAATATCTAAAGAAATTGACCTGCAAATTTTAGTTCTAATCAATTGATCACACAAATGCATGACTTGATTTCTTGCTCAGACTGTTTCCTTATACAATTTTTATGCTAAAAAGGTAGATTCCGAACCTTTAACCATACTGATTGTTACATCATCGCCTTGCTCCTCTCGCATCTCACCATCTTCTTCCTCACCACTATCCGCAACTTCACCTTCTTCCACTTGCCGACTGCTACGAATTCGTTTCAACGGTTTCGTCATCTCTAGCATCATCTTCAAGAATAATACCATCTTGCAGTTTTAAATAGACAAAACAGCTGAATATTTCTTTACCCTTAGGTAATATGTTTCAAGCACTATAACTTGAAGAAGCAATCATCAGGACAGTGCAATCTTTCGGCATTTATTACTTACCAAACTACCTGCACTAGTTAATAACGAGAAAATAAGCAAACTCTCATGTCAGCACAACCTTGTGCAACGCAATGGTGCTAAATAATTCTGTAATACTGAATAAACACATTTTCCTGAATAAAATGATTCCCTATCCGCAGAAAAAGAAATATCCATACTTTAGCAACAGCGAAACGATCATTCCAAATGACATTACAGCTCACTTCGTCAATCATTTCGACCGCTACCGGATCAAACTCAGCGAATATTCTAAAATGAAAGAAGAAATCCAAACTATTAACCAGACTAAAATTATCATATCTTATTCCATATCAAAAGGAATTCTTTTCCATCGCTTTTAACTTTAACAGGATATCTTCGCACTGACTTTTATCCACATAAACCAAAATGTCAAAAAAAACTCTAATCTATCCCAAACAACAAGCTCTTAAATTTAGCACGTAGAATTTAACAAGTTGAACTGCAGTATTATATTATTACATTAAATCGCTAGCACGTACAATTTAACAAGTTGAACTGTAGTATTATATTATTATTACATTAAATCGCTCACCAATCCCGAAACCAGTTAAAAGCAAATAGAATTAGAATGAACTACAAAAGCTAAGTCAGAAAGTGTAACAGTAATGAAAGCCTACTTTTCAATTTGATACGTTGAAAGGCCATCAACACCTCGAACATACACAGAATGAAGCCTGTGACGAGAACCGCGCACTTGGACACCCATCGAACGATATAACTCTTCCACTTCATCTTCCTCGATCTAAAAAGTTCATTTTTTTCTTTTTCCTTTGCTTTATTGCTTCTGAATTTACAAACATTGCTGGACTCTAATGTAAAAGAAATATGAATCACAGATGATCCGTATTCAATTCAATTCTGATCATAACTTATTTCCATGCAGAAAAAACGCCAACCCTTCAAAAAAAATAAGATGTTTTAAGCAATTGATAATATAGAAGAAGAGACAAAACATCTAAGTCTCTGCATAAAAAATAAGACAGGAATAAAAATCAAAGCAAAAAAAAAGCTTTTTTTGAGAAGAGTCTAATAACCAGACGCCCATTGTCTTCCTAACAAGATACAGAAGTGATACGTATCAATCTGCGGAAATGAAGAACATCACCTACACTGTAACGCCTACAAAAGAAGTCTTTGCAAACTTAGAGTGCGTTCACGATATTACACGATTTTGAAAGAGGAAAATGCTGAAAACTACCAGAAGAAAGTACTCCACTACTGAAATTGATGAATAATGAAAAAACATTTTTTATTAATCTTTGAACTCCTTCTAAAAATAATATGCGAAAATGAGAAAAAACAAAAAGAATCAAAATTAATATCAGCTGAAATCATACTACCATTTTAACAGTACTCATCTCGAAAAGTAGTTCCGGACACTTCCTCGTTTTTCACTCAAACGACCATACTAACCTCGCTTGAATAGTTTCGCAACGATTATGAAACATTTGAGCGAGATGACTAACAAAAAATATAATGCCGAAGCCTTACCTCTTATATCTCAGGTAGTGACGCAATTCCTTTCAAGAATATCTGATTCATTCAACATGAAATTCTCAAATATATTTCATATCCCGATGATAATCTTCTGCTTTTCCCCTCTACTCGCAATCTACTGCTACATAATGCTTACGTAGATGCCGCATCCCAACAACTTACAACATATCTCGACCACGTTTATATATTACCTATGATACCGCTTGACGAATATTTCCAGGATAGCTTCTATACTTATTCTGGAACGCCGTAGAAAGGCACATTACTAAGAATTTCTTTGCATCTTTCGCCCATATGAATAATGTCTCATTCACTAAACAAACAACATTATGCCAGTATTAGCAAACGATAGCTATTATTACTGTATTACACAGTGCCTGAAATGATGGAATCGGTCGGTTAGATAGAACACTTCGCAAATGACCGATGAAAACGCTGCAAAATGTTGCAACGTCTTAATACTGTAAGATGCACACAGAACTTAACCATATGGAAGCAATAAATCACATCACCATTAATTCAGGCATTGTTTCATCTCTCTATACTTCCCATCATGAAGTTTTTCACTTTCCCTTTCGTAGTGAGGCGGAAGAATTAGGATTTATGTATTCAGATACAACATTCATTATTTCATTACAGCTGGCATCTGGGACGTTCCTGTATTTGCAGAAGTTTTAAGTTTAAGTTCAAGAAGAGTTCCTCAGTGATCACCACTATTTAAAGCTAACTAGAGCTATTAGCAGCAACCAAATTCACTGCCTCTTTCAACTCAATGTATATTAAGCAAATCCATGATCTTGTATTCTAATTGGGCACTTCATGTCCCACATGTTGCCTGGGACTTTTTCTCCAGCAACCCAACATGACCGCAATAACTCCCTTTAATGCACGTACTTTTTCCGAACTTTTCATGCTTGCGTGCATTACACACTTCACAAACCAAATTAAATTAAGTATTTGGTGACTCGACCAGTGTGAAGATTGTTCAAATTTCAACTGCTTATTGAAAAGCATTAGATGTTTCACTGCTACGAATTAGTCCCGCAACCGCGCAAAAACTGCTCTTTAAACATCGTGAAACGATGAGACTTCCAATGGCATAATAATTTTGCAAGTTTACTTCTCACCATAAAAAGTACGAGATGCAAGAAATCTTGGCTAATCAGTCGATATCCTCACTCTCTTTTTCCTCCATCAAGTAAAGATGTCATTACAACGGGTATCACTACAAGCTGAGATTTCTTCATCCTAATGCTCGATAACGGAGAGGATCACCCTACTACCATCACAGTGATTTAAACCATTGCAACAAGTGCCACTCAGATGTTCACAAAACAAACAAAAAAACCAGCACATGCTACGCAAGTACGTCACGTCATTACAAATAATACCAACTTTAACCATCTGTCACAGGCACCGATATTGAAGATAACGTTGCATGACATAAATGAAAACAAAACAGCACTTACATCAATAGTCTGGGATGGAGGATCAATGCCAAAACGTCGGGCATTTGCCAAGCGTTTTTCACGTTTTTGAGAACTTGACTCCGATGAGAACCGACCATCATCATCACGTTGGATTGAAGTGCTTCTTGAATGTTCATCACTCTCGGAGATGAGTGGCGAGCGGTAGCGAACTCGCGTATGCCGATGACGTTTCCGAATTCGCTGTCCCGACTGCACTTCTTCATCCACCGGTTTATTGAGCTGCAAAAAATTTGCCTACATCTCATCGTTTCTATGAATTATGACAGAAACCAGTTCCCGCTTTACAATCGCGGGCCACATATGCGACCTTTCTTACTGTCACCAAATATTTTGGATACAGCTTAACCCATGTATCAAATATTTTTTAAGTGGCACCATCACGACCAGAAAACTATATGATTGTTAAACTTGAACAAGCAATTTTAAAAACTTTAAAAGGTCATATTACATATTTAATTAATAAAAAATCTTCCTAACCAATATAACTGCATTACCAGAACAGAATTCACCAACTGATACCGTATTTTAAATGCTGCAGTCAACTGTTATTCATACCATTTATTTACTGCATCCATCAATTACCAGTGATCAGCTCTACTTCGATCTCCTCTTTCATTCCCAAGTAATGCGCTGTTGATTGACAAACTGTCAACAATCGCGAGGGTATTAACAAAGGAGACGAATAAAGTTAAGATCGAACATCTTCCTTTACAGTACTCCACATGACTAACAGAGTGTTTTATTCTAATGAGGCTCACTTGTCCTTCTGATACCCCGTGCAGACTTGCACAAACTAAAGCACTACACTAATGTTATCATTATTATGACTGCAATTCTCAAAAAATCTAATACACCTTAAACAGCTGTCAATGAACTTCCAAAAAAAATCTGCTTCATCATTCAAGTGGAAAGTTCAAATTTATTTTGCTTTCGGAGACCTTATTCAAAAGGCAGCTTTACAAGTGCACTACAAAGCACTTTGTGGAAACTTATTTATGCTAATACTTCAATAAGACATAAAAAAATTAGCACAGCATCATGCAAACACTTGAGGGCCGGTCCCTTTTTTTGCTGCTCAATGTGGAACAGATATATTTCATGATAGGGTATAAAGAACTGGAGAGAAAAGCAATTCATACATGCTCCGCATCAGAGAGAGGCCTGGAAGTTCAATTAGTGCCCTTTACCGATAGCAGCAAAAAAAGAAATCAATAATTACTTTCCCCTTCAATCGCCACAGTTCAATTAAACAAGCAAATGCAGCAACACACACACACACACACAAATATACATACATACATACAAAGGCGTGCACAACTCCTACTATAATTGCTTTGAGTGCCGCAACTATCCGGTCCAAACGACTCCTTCACTTCCCTCGATCTCCCTCCCATTCTTTTCAATTTTCACAAATAACGTAGTCACCAAACATGTTGCAGTAATGGGGACTAACATATCAACCTTACGTCGTTTTCTACATTACGCTTTTCTGAAATATGTGACAAAATCACAACTGCCTTACGGTACTCAGTATGATATATGGAAATTGACGTTACCTTTATTTCATGAAAGTGAGCAGGTAGATAAAAAGTGGAAAATGCGAAGGCGCTCGAACACCTGAAACTTTGCTCACCTACGCTTGAAAGTACTTAGGTTGAGTCGAAGTCCCAGGCGCCGAGCACTCTCCGTCTTAAATAGGGAAGAAAATTAGATATTGAGCATCTGTCTTCAGAACACAGTCAACTATCTCATGAAATAAATTACCATAGCATTGATTATTAGCAAAACATGGTAGATTATTGCCATCTGGCTTACTTGATACAATGGAATGAGCGGGAAAAAACAACAGAAGATGCACTGGAAACACTTGAAAGTAGAAATAATATATCTTGCAACATCGACGTGGGTATCCTAACTTCAGCGCCATTAATTGATACAACTGTACTCTTCAGCGGTACACTTTCCCAGTACACTCTCACCCAAAATTCTCTACTGGATGAATAAAAAGACTTTCAGATGAAGAGATCAACAACAGAAAAATAGCGGGATTACTTTTGCTCGATCAGAGAAAAGTGGTTGCCCCATGTGCCAATTGATTCTGCGAGTATGCAGTAAAATTACTGGGAGATCTTAATATTGCCGATGAAATCATACGGCTTTGGACAAATCTACACTTCCCTTACCAGTCCAGCCTCTTTCCTATTTGCTATTTCTCCGCCTTACTATTCCTTACCTCTTCTCTGTCCAAATGTAAGCATACCTTTTAAGCATTGCGGATGCCTAATGCCTTAAAAAACGGTGAATCGAAGGTCAAAGGGTGCTATCAAAATCTTTCATTTGTGCCACTTTACTGATATAAACAGTTATTGCCAACACAGCCAGCTCCCTCTATTTGGACATATCCCTTCAGCATCTCTTTGCATTTGAAATTCAGAGAAATTTCGGGATCCACATGCACGATTTTCCTAACCAACTTCAGATAAAGAAAAGTGGAGTAAGGATGGGGCAAGTGCAAAAGAGAATAGTATTCATGATAGAATAGTAACAGTCCCAACTGTCAATAACGGCTGGCAACGGCCAGTACCACCAGGCTTAGCGGGTATACATAGGTTTGAAACAAAAGCCAAGAGACTAGCTTTCATGCGCTTCAATGTCCTTATCTGGTGCTCACACGAAGTAACTGCAAGGGAAAAGGATGAGGGAAAAGAAGCGCTAACGATGTACAATCGCAATGACGACAACAACGACGATGGCTGATGGGCTAAAATGGGTGTTTACGAAGCCCTACTGCTGCCTTGAGGCATCAAGCAAAAATAAGCAAGGAAACACAAGCAAGCTCTCTCTCGCCATTCGTGAAATTCAATCCCTGTCCCTTTCAACCAACACCACCACCATCCATCCCTACCCAATTCACTCATCTCCCTCTGTTCGTTCATATTTAGTTTAGCTAACATACCCGTGACATGACCCTTAGTTACTTCCCTCTCTCCTCTTTGCTATGCGCAAATTTTCCTGCACTACTACGTCGAGGTGACATGGCCCAACACAGCGTGGAGTAGCAAGCAGCAGTGCTTGCGCATGTTTCTCTTCCTCTCTCTCATTCTGCTACAAAGCTCATGTAGTCACCTTAATTCACTTTAAGCCAGGATTGGCCAACTCAGCGATGGTTCACTTGGCCATTCCACCCTTTTCACGCATGCGCATACACTTACTGTGAGGCCAGGTGAAGAAGCTAAATGCTTGTATTTTATTTTCCATATCGTGTTGTAACACCAGTGAAAATATAGCTAACTATTCCTGAAATTAACCAACAATAACAGTGAAAGCACATACCTTACTATCAACAACAGTAAAGGTTAATGAACTGATCAGAAATATCCAGCTGAATTGGAGGTCTCTACAAGGCTATGAAGTTCAATTACTGAAAAAGAAAGTAAATGATGAGAAACGAGGCCAACTGACCCCAAATGCAACTCAAAAGGTAACAGTATATAAAATGATGCATAGTGAAAAGATGGTATGTCACACACGGGAAGAGGATGAGGTGTATCTCTCTATGTATACAATACACATATACACATATAATTTAAGAAGAAAATTTAGAAAACTTCATCTTAAGAAGACCAACTAAGCCTAATTTTAAAAATCAAGTTTGTAAAGCCTTAGAGCGAAGCAAATAAGTATAAATTGCCTCATAGAAGATTCAAACACTTTTAAATTTAATGGCAAGGAACTCAGTTTAACGTATGATATTATACACTAAAAGTTGTGATGCATTCAACGCTACGACACGCAGAAAGTGCACAACTTGATGACACATGAAAAAGTTAAACACACCACAGAACAGTGCTCCACATTTGGCGAAAACGAAAAATGTTCGCTATCACCTTGAATGGCAGCACACCTGACTAAGTTGCTCCGCATCATGCCACTTATATATTGTCTAGTTGACTAGCTGAATATCAAAGTAACAGAACGCGGGGAGCTAACTTTTTAAAACCACAACCGTCCTACAAAAATTATTAAATATTGCAATCATGAAATTAACAAAAATACCATTCCATTATGGTTGGTGTGCTTGTATGAACAAACTTAAAAAATTAACAGTTTTTCTTTCAATTCTCAAAAAACACATAGCGAGCACGAGGAGGAAGACAACGAAGTTTCAAAATCTGTTAAAACAGTAGAAAAAGAAATATAGTATTAAAAAATATAGAAACAACTTAGATGTTAGGGTAGAAGAATTTCATGATTAAGTTAAAAATTATATAGTTCAAAATTCATCATATAGCGATGGAATGCTTTATTCGTCCATAATAAAGATATACAAACAATTTGGATGTAAGGGTAGAACATGCTCATGATCAAGCTGCTAATCCTGAAAATCGTCACTAATAAAAATGATGGTGAAAGTCAGATCAAATCATCGAAAAATCACTCTTCATTAGTCAAGTGGCACTTGCTACGATTGGAAAGTGTGAATACTGCTAGAAGATACATCCGATGACCAAAACATTACATGTCCACAGAATTGAACTCGCGAGCCGGTGATCAAAGATCATCACAGCTACTATAAGATGTGAGGTGCGCCAAAGGTAAAACAACAAAAGTTATCCGTTAATAAAAGTTTCTATTCTAGTGAAACAAAAATGTATTCAATAAAATTCCAAAAAAACTTATGCAATAGCAGATTAGATTCGATGATCAGCATCCAAATCATTATCATTACCTATGCCTTTACCTCCAACGAATCTGTCACATCATATTATCATGAACATTACAATAGATGACCAATTTATACTGATTAAAAATAACCATAGAATGTCTAAATCACAGGTGACAGATGAAGTATACAAACTATCTGGAAATAGATGATACAATGAAAGACTAGAACCAAGGACTAAGAATGCCACAACAACAACAACAACAACAACACAACAATAACAACACAACAACAATAACAACAACAACAACAATAATAATAATAACATGAACTGGTTAATGAATACGAAAGAAACTGAAATTAAGAAAAAACTAATGAGGAAGTGATAAGTAGAGGAGAGAGTAAGAGGAAGAGAAGATGCTGTTTGATTAACGATGAAGGATGATGAAAAACTACTCACTTCTTCCACATGTCACACATATATAACACAACCAATACCAATACCAATACCAGTACCATACACATACATTCATGGACACAGGCGAGTTCATAGTGTGTCAACTTTTCGCACAACTCACAAAACGAATCAAACCCCAACAAGCAAATGTGATTACAGAGGGTTAGGGTTGGGTAGAAGAGGAAGAGGAGGACAAGGAGGAGGAGAGGGGGAAATAAAGAAATGTGGGAGGAGAATGGTTGATGTCCTTCGAGCAAGTAGCAGTGGGGACACCATCACAGCAGCAAATGGCCAATGGAATAGAGCAATCATCACACTTCACTGATCGCTCCGATTGTCGATTGCTACTGGCTGGCAATTACAATTGATCTTCCGACCACCGTCTACTTCATTTCGTTTCATTCAGATTGTCTTTTATCGTCCTTGGCAATTTTGAAGAGAACGAACACAAGTTAGCTTACTCGTCGTCTCCTGGTGATGTCTACTCTAATATTTTCTCCTTATCCATTATTATGTGGGTAATATTTTATACGTGTACTATATAATGTATAAGCACCAGTCTTGCTATTTCAAACTCCAAATTTCCTTTATCATATTTAGTTGACATTGCTGCGCTATAATGCAACCTAAGCAAGAATGACCTGGATGGGTAACTAATTCGGGTTAAACGGAACAGGGATTGCTTATTAACATATCAAGAATAGACAATTATTTATTAACACCAAAATAAAGGAAATCATTCAAAGATAAAGGAAATCTGGATGTTGCTGAGCACGTGCACCTGTTTCTAGCTCTTGGCGGCAGTTAACTAATCAACTTCACCTTTCTTTCATCATCCTCAATACAACTCCGCAATAAGCGATGTCAGCCGGCTGTCAAGGTGGATGGATGACATACCACACAACCCATCATCACCACACCCTCAACAATTCATAACAGCAGAGGCAAAAGGAAATCAATGAGGGAATTAGTACAAAACCACTTGAAGGGTCTCCCCCGAAAGAAACAAATACCAAAAAGAGGATAGGATGAGAAAGGCAGAATAAATGTAATCAGAGAGGAAGAAAACATTAATGGGAACCTGTATTTAAATGTAAGTGGCTGACGAGCTTTAATTTCATCTCTCCTCACTACCATTTCCAACCTTTCTGATCCCCTCCCTCAACACCCTTTCCTCTCAATACTCCTCTCATCATCCTCCAACCTTACCAGTTCATCAACTTACGCATTCGTACGTCCAGTGTCAGTAGTGGCAATTGACACTATATCACTGAGAGGTATGCAATGTCGCTCTCGTTACTTCTCTCTTCCCCTCACCACTACTATGTAAACTTTCATCAACTTATCCCTTCTTCCTTCTTTTCTTTACCTATTTCTTTGAAAGAACTTTAAAATGAATAGACAACACAGTAGTAGAAGGCGTGCAAGAAATATGTAGTAGTTAAGATATGAAATTACCATCGAAAGGATAAGCAGCAAATAAATTAAGAGGTCAAGTGATAGAAGAGCATAGATTGGTATTTTGTGCTCTTTCTGATTCATATTGCCAACAATAATTTGATTTTAATTAACATATTAATAACGACTTTTTTGCTTGTACATAAAATCCAAGATAATACGTATGTGAAGCTTGGTGAGATTGATCGCATTAGCATTCTGTCCGCAATCAAGCTGATATAATTAGTCATCGTCTTATCCTTCCTTTCTAATTAATTGCTTGACATTGTCCCTTCACTTTCCTTCACTCCTTACTTCACTTTATTCACCGGCTCAACTCTAACAATGCATGTCAATGGGCAATGAATAGGCGCTCTGGCAATCAACTACAGACATCCAACACGGTTGATCGTGGACGGAAGCAAAACAAATAAGGTTTTTATAGCACTGAACATTAAAGAGACTACTTAATCAAAAAGCTATTCATGGAGAGATTAAAAGCTGATTCACAATAGCTACAAATATTAGCCCTTCAAAGTAATCAAAATGTTTTTACTTTTTACTAATAATTTGGAGGATTCTTAAAGTTACAGTACATTTCCAAGCAGTACAGGTCATCTTTGTCCAAGCATAAAAATCATTTCGACACATTTTGCCTACTTTTTGTAGCTGTTCTTCTTTAGTCCATCATATATATTTGCTTCAGTTGAGTTATCGGTAAAAAGACAATTCAGGTTAGCCATACCCTACTGCTTCGGCATTCAAATTTATATCACTGTACTTCCTTGATAGGCTAAGAGTATATGTGAACCGTAAAATGCAATCCAAACTTAATCTTCCTGAAATTCCATCACTCTGCTATGCAAACTTTCCATATCTCTGTCTTATTTCTCTCTGCTTTAATTACACTGTATATTTCAACAGAAATATTTGGCGATCACTGTTGTGAAAAGCTATCATCTCCAAAGATCATCATTCAAGAGTTAAAATACCGAAGATATGGGGAAAAAAGACCTCTAGTTCCTTCGCAAAATATGGTGGTGATTGTATGTACATTTCACCATGAAGGCATATGGACAAGATTTACATTAACTCAACACAAACGGATACACTTGAACAAAATACACATACAATACATATAAATTTCGGGAAAAGAATATATATATACATTCATGATAGGGAAAATTAGAGTAAAAAAGGAATGAAAAACAAGTGATAGATAGAATGAACGAAAAAGTTCTTGGAATTTGTGATATTCATTCCTACAGATTTTCTAAATAAGAAAATTGTGAAAGTATTTGGCAAAAAACAAAATTCTATTACGACTATATTTAGCAATAATCATTACCTCAGATAAGTCTATATCTCATGGAGACACGGAAACTGGGAATGGAAGACTGACTCGGTAACACTTCATTCACTACACCACGACAATGTTCATAATTGCATCGTTGTAGGAATGAATGAAAATAAGGCCACATCAATATTTGGCAGAAACTTAATGCACTGATGGATGCCGATCATTGCTTAAGGCTAAGAGGAACAATAGTCATCAGTAATTTGCTTCCAAATAATGCAATTTGTTTGCATTATCTTTCAGAAAAAAAAAATAAAGAGCTCTAAATCAACATTAACCTATGTTCAACGAATAACAATATTTACAAATGATAGTTTTCGTGTAAACTATCCGCATCAACTGGCAAATGTTCCCAACAAAGAAATAAAATTTTCGAGTACATTTAAATTTAACTTATGGTTTATAAGATTTCAAACTGTTTACTCAGTTATTGCTTACAATGAAAATAACCCCAACAACTTACTGCAATTATCAATATCGCACCATGCGAACCTTGATGGCAACAAGTTGAGATTCATTACTGCACTATAACATAATCAGAATCAACATCATCGGCTATCATCGGCTCTCAAAACTAAAACCATTGCCCTAGAAATTTGTAAAGCTATCAATTTGTCGTATCCAATTCAGTTATAAAAACTAAATTGTTCTTTAAATTCTGCAATCAATATTCAACTAAAAATCATTGCAGATGAATTAAGTTACAGAAGTTGCATTCAAATGAGAAGTCGGAAAGTTGAATTGGCTGAAACAGGAATTTGAACATCGAGTAGAGCCTCAACAATTACAACTAGACATTTATTTGTATAGGGTATCAATGTTTCCCCTGAAAAAAACCAATAAATAACGGACATCTCCAACAATCCATTCAATGGATAAAGCGAGAATTTGAGTCTAATAGAGAAGATTTATTGTAATCAAAAGCATAATACCCATACCATTAATGCTACCTTTCTGAGAAAAAGAGGATAAAACCAAACACCTTTTCTTTCATTTCATTCTTTCCTTCTCACTGACATCTGCACTTGTCTGTATCAAACGGGAGATTCGATAAATATAACCAAGTGGTTGGATGGGAAAAACAAGGTTAACGAGCGTCCTCTCTTCACGATATGGAAAATGAAACCATATAGAATATATGGAAATTACTATCATTTGGAAATTAACCATAATTATCATATCCAGAGGTCAACAATATTTTACGACAAACAGCACATAGTTACTTAACATATATTGTGGGTTAGAAGGGCACATATAATTTTTGACTATGAAAAGAGAACTAAGTAATAATTTACATATAGTTTGAGAGATACTTAAGCTACTCTCCTGCTTGTTACAAGTGACTTTGTTGATTGACTTATAGAGAATTGATCAAGTTTTTGCTGACTAACTTAGAGATTTATTTCTGAGTCTGTGCCATTTCACTACTAATCCAACGATAAATAAATAAAGCAAAAACGTCACTCATCACATGATGAAATAATCGTTCAATCTTACGAAAAAAAATACGTAGTCATGTAACTGTCTACTCCACTAACATTTGAATCTTCATATGTTGACCATTTCTTATGTTACGGCAACAATAGACAATGTTAGGTTAAATTTCATTTCACACATTGCAGTGTAAGCCTCCTACATTAACGGTCATAAAGTCTAAAGCCAAAAGAGCCAGAGATGAAAAAGTTACATTTAAGAAAGCAAACCATATCATTGTTGACTAAGTTTTCATTCAAACCTTGTCATCAGAAGTAGGACTCATAATTATTCCATTTTCGCTTAAGGCCTCTGCATTTTATCTCCCGACCACATTGCAATCCATAACGCATCTTCCTTACTCGTTTACTGTATATATATATACTCACATTCACTTATAAATTGTTTGATTTTTGATAAGAATCTTTTACACCTTTCAATTCATCTTGTCCTCTCTTGCTCTCATAAACCGTTATAGCACTTCATCAATTTTTTATCAATTGAATGATCGCTTCAACAAAAAAATCGGAAATGTGATATTCGTTTGTGCACTCATCAGTGATAACAGTCACTCAAATATCGGACAACATTGCTATGTCGAAAGAATTACATACGACTTTTCAAGATGACAGTAAGATTTTCGGGATGAATTAATTCATGGCGAATTGATAAGTATTAATTCATATAATCTCACTGCCACTGTTTTACTATGACCAATGGTACAGCTTGACTTTCACCGATGGATAGATGGATAGATCGAAAAAAGAAGAAAAAAAGAGAAATGAAAGGATAGAGAGAGAGAAGATAAAAGCATGAAGCCTAAGTTGCATAATGCACAGATCGATGGTTATTAGATATTGTTTGCTTCAGCTCGGTTGGTACCTTCTCCTGCTTTTATTGATGGATGATGGTATATGAATGAATGGATGAATGGGTTGTAATCATCCATCGCTTTTTTCATTGCCACGCACATGAATAATCTGATGGAAAGGGGTAGGGGTGGTAGAGAGGAAGATTCCATTTGTACTAATCATCATCCGTTCCACAGATACACAGATACAGACATACACACACACACACACACACACATACACGCACACGTTTGCTTACATCATTCGCCTTTACACATTGGACGAAAAGTGAATGGAAGAATATGCTAAAGTGAACATATTGAGGCATGGTGAGTAGTCACGTTGCTGGCAACAGTTGACAGTTATCATTCATTCCATATGTGAGCAATGTGTGGAGAAAATAATGACTGAGTAAATGAGGAGAGCAATGATAATGAATATTTAACATCGTTCTTCACTGAAATTATATTCATTCTCTATTAGTCAATATCAAACTTATTTATTCAACTAGCATTAGCTTAAAACTTTCTCTTATTCTTTTAATTTACTTCATTACATCACATATCACTCGTTACTCACTATTTGAAAATGAAACATACTTTGTGAAGCAAGCGTTATTTCCAAAATGTTACCAGCAGTTAGTGGCAAAAGAAGAATCATTTAAAACGACCCCATTCAAAACAACACGAACACAGCAGGGGTGATAATAGGAGTAGGACAGAGTGGAATAACGCCGCTTGATGCTAAGGTGAGATGGCAGTAATAAGTGGTATTTCAATTTGTTGTAGTATGAACAACAGAGTTTCTTCTCTTATTCTACAATCGATGTTTCGGAACAACAACCTTTCATGTTAAGAAAACGAAGACTAATCATGGCTCGTATAATGTACTAATTTGTACGGAAAAACGATTTAAAACTATTATTAGAAAAAAAGATCTTGGAGAAAAGTAAATGCAAAACAAAGACGGAAACAACCGTAATCCAATCTTTTTTTACATCTAATACTTATTAATGACAAGAAAAGGGTATGACAGATAGTGTAGCAGGTGGTTCCTTAAGAAAGAAAGGGATGACAACACTCACATAATACAAAGGACAGGAAAAAATAAGATGAAATGGAGATATAACGGTGTATTACGCCTAGAGCACCAGAGCTCACACCTCAGTAAACCCTATCAAACCACCTGTTATCATTCTTCTGCTGTGTATATACGTATATTCATCACATCTTCTAGAACAGTTAGTAAATGACAACTATGTTCTGTTGCAACCCTCATAAGCAATATTACTGATCCACAAAGTCTACTATCCCATTTCCAGATTGGAAAATTTGAAGCTGTATCTTTTGCCATACAACGTTATCCAATTTTAACATATGCAAATGCTCCATAAACGAAATGCTGAAATTAAGCTCTCTAAAATAATGAAGACAAAAGGGTTTTCCAGTTGTCTATTTTAACAATAATAGATATAACTTGTTGCACGTAATATTATGCTTATTATAAGTCCCTTTTTATTTTACCTATCATCTCATAATCATCTAACCACATATAATGTCCATTTACCTAATAACAATCGGTGAATTTTGCAAACAGTTCGAGCTGTTTTCAATTTACCTTCAATGGGTTATAGCTTACTTCATATCCTCGCAGAAAATTAACTTCAAATAGTTCAGGACATACACATCTTTCTCACCACCCAAATGCACCATCACAATTGATAACTACCCTCAGCATTTCGTGCCAATTCATCTTTTTCTAAGTTCAACCACTATACCATGTCCCTTGTTCATCTTCGTTTTTTAAACGTATAAATTGCGGTAATTTTAATGCTGCCTCTTCATGCACACCGTATTTATCATGTAACGCTTCTTGAATTATTTTGCACTCTAACTTGCACCTCACCTAGTAAGCCAGTGCATTTGTGGCAATTGAAATTACAGAATCTGCTTCTTTAAAGTATGCTCACAAAGTTTTCTTTCAAAATTGCTAAAGAATATTCACCAAGTCGTAGAATCATAGAGAAACAGATAAAGCTCATTAATGTTCTATATCACAAGAGATGTACAAAATTTATTCTCTTTTGCTTAAGTCACTTTTATTATTTCCATAGTATCTCCTTATGATCCTAAGTAAGCCTATTTAAAAGTTGTCAGCAAAAACTTATACTGATCATTCAAAAGAGAAACTTTTGCAAAAATGAAAATAACAAAATCTAATGATACGACAACAGAAACGAGAAATCATTGAAAACATTTTTTTCAAAAGCACACGTAAACAATCCATATACAGGTGTGCAAACATACATCCACACGTCAAATTTTATATATTTTATGTAGTGAGCACTAGGAAGCAATAATTTTTTTTCATTTTCGCACATATCTAAAAATATATTTTTTCCTAGCAATATCATTCCATTTCCCGTCACTTGCCCACCTTGCAGTAGGCCTTTCTGAATATTTTATACTTCTTTCTATTTTTAATTTCCCCTACTAAATTTCGAACAATATAATATAAACAGTATGACATAACACTTCTTGTTAAAATCCTTGAAAATTTCAAAAAAAAAAATGAATGAAAGGAGAATAAAAAGATCTAATAATTTGGCTAAGGTAAAGTACTACTACAACTATCTGGTCATAATATATTAAAATGATAAAATAATTCATTTTGAATATTTAATAGGGATCAACGTAGTTTGTATAGATTCTTTTAAGCTTCTTCTTTGTTTAGTAGCTTACCCAGGAAAACGGTGAGAAGTCTCTGTGCACTCTACAGGACGCAAATCGCAATGCAATTAGTTTTTTCAAACTTTTTAGACCATCTAGCACTATCAAAATTATAATTAGTGATTTTAAATGGATACTGTAAATTAGGAAGTGCAATTACGAAGTCGATTTCCTGCTTCTTTTTAAGAAAAATTAGCTTCATCATTCAAAAGAAGAGCAATTCCAGAAGAATTTCTATTTAAAATACGAGAAAAAAATCTTTATGGGTTATGTGCGTCATCGATAGCTTTGGCGAATGGTTTAAATAATGTTTAAATGACTAGCTTCTAAAGCCTCCTGATGCTTCTAATTCTACGAGTTTTGCTATTTAGTATAAGCTGCTATCCCGATGTTCAAGCCGTCAATCAGTCGAATCTAAATTTTCGAGTTCGAAATAGTTTGGTCATTTTCATGTGACATAAGTCCTCGAATATGCACCCTTTTATCCAATAACTGCTAAGAACTATCGATGTCTCTAATTAAAAATCTTCCTACGTTTAGTCCCATTTAAGCTTCTATCCATAAAGAAATTTACTTGAAAATTTCACTTCTCAGAGTGTTTTCTGAAAGAAATGTACTTCAGCCTAATAAATAATCGGATCATTCTGTACTGGTAGTGCAGCTCTTTGGTAATCACTGAAATCAACTAATGCAAATATGTACGCAGATATAAATATTAATTTAAAAACCTCAAAAGAGATGGAAGTTTCTGTGTGTTCGACTTCTTGTACATTGGATAATTCATCGCCCAATAGTTCATCTTCGGCAAAATCAAGATCGATTGAATCTAAGTATTAAATCCCTGTCAGTAAAATAGAGAAACAAATATCAATTCTAGTATTATCTTTTTAGAAAACGTATTAGACACAGAAGTTGCGCTTTAAAGAAAATGCTATCTCTTGGTAAAATAAATCGAAATCATAGTCCGATAAAAGTCTTACGAATTTCATGGGAAATTTGATCCATGTGAAAACTTAAAAATCCTTCTCATTTTCTCTTACACAAGAAATCAAACCTAATAAAGCTTAAAGAATGAATGCATATAGTTAAAAAGATGAAAAAGTTGCGAGAGAATACCTTCAACTGAAGCCATCATCAAAGAACAAATTTAACTCCGATATTCAATTGAACTTCAATTTTTTCAATTCAATGATGTCTCGGAAACCTGTAAACGTTGATTATAATTCCAATTTCATCAAGAATTTAACGTCTACAGAAGAATGAAGCAATCGTGTTTCCAGAGATCTACTGCGCAAAATACCTGTTACAAATGTCCAAGAAGAATGGCTTATTTCTAAATAACCCAAACAGGAATACAAATCTTATTTTTTCCGGTTTTGTGGTGCATGTTATTCTTATCTCCTGAGCCCATATAACAATGTGGACAATAGCCGTCATGCAAAGTTAATGACTAAACTGAAAAACCAGTAGTCTATTTGGACATTCTGAATATTTCACACATTTAAGTATTAACTTCCCTAATATTATGCATCAGCAGTCCAAATGATTGCACAAACCAATCGACCCATCAATACTACTTCGTTAGCTTCCCATTTTAATAATATTCGTAATACTGATATTTGAGATATTAACTGACATCAGAGGACAAAACTGCTGGTTAACTTTATTTTATATATATAAAAGCACTGGAAAAAGATTACATTAAAAGGAGACACACTATATCATACAGTTAAATACTATAAAGCAGTATAAAACTAACAAACTACACAGTTTCATATAGCAACTCTTTGTAGCATTTTTTCGAAACTCCTGCTTGAAGTTTGTTATATTATAAGGCCTAATTGCATTTAACAGAAGCAGCTTTAATTTGTCACACTTTAGAAAACACAGAAAATCAGAGAAACACAGAATATACATTTATCAGGATAGTTTAGAAAATCTACGTCATTGTTTTGTAATGTATTTTGTATAGATTAGCACCGATACTCTGTATCACCGATACCGATACTTATCATCATAATATAAATTTGACTCAACATAATATATTGATATATATGCCGATACTAATTTACATTAACTGATACTAATATACACAACTGACGGCTTATTCACGTTGCTAATAATCCGATGCATGACTCACTCAAGGACTAATAAGAACTATTGTAAAAAGATTTGCAAGTGAATTTCGAATGAAAGATAATTTGATCGATTATCGAATAACAGTAAACTTGACTTCTAAAATATGATTAATCAATTCTCACAAAAATTACTCATATGAAAACAGGAAGGTATATCAGTATTTGATTAACGAAGATTTTAAACCTCATCTGACAATTCGGTTTGTCGTGATGTAAGCAGAAGTATAGGAAAAAGTCTCAGCTGATAATGTAGAAATGATAAAAGCCAAACAAATAAGATCGAAAAAGTAAAAAAAAGGCTACAATTCAAATAGGAATAAAGAAACAGAAGTTCACTTCTCAAGCTGTCTCAAAAAGTTTTCTCTTTTTCTACGGATTTCTTCACTTTTAGGTATTTGGGAACTATTTTGTTTACTTTCCTTAATAGTCGCAAATCCTTTATTATTTTCAGCTGTAGTCGATGTTGCTTCAGATGATTCCATTCCATATCGATCCCAAAAACTCTCCAAGCTCATTTGAATGACTTTTTGAAACTGTCTTTCTTGTAACTCGTCATCGCTTTCACTCAAACTGTTCTTATTCTGTGCATCTGCCAAACTGTTGCTCACTGCTTCCTGCAAAATATTTAGGATAGTGCAATAAAGATTCATCTGTCGGGAATCCATCGTGGAAAACAGAGTGGTTGCAGGAACAAATTAAAGCCGAAAAAAATGAATTCATAGTACATTGGGTTACCTTTAACGCCGAATCTTCTTTCACTGTTTGCCGACTGAGTTCTATTGCAAGCCGCAAATCTTCATCATCTTTGGTCTATAAAAAAAATACGAGTCTGATAAATTAATAAATGATGCTATTAATAAAGTGGAAAAACTTTAAAGGAATCGTGGATCTTCAGTTACATCCTTCCTGCCTCACTGAAGAGCAACTGTTTAATTTCCAGAAACCTGAATTTTGTCTTTATCATATCCAACAAAGCCTTGATTGCAATTATGTGACTCTAAAAATTTTAGAATACTTCCAAAAATATCAAATATTACTTACCATTAAAGAATAATTCATAGTATGCAAAGTTCTAGTGTTCCGAAAAGGTAAAACAAATCTAACAACATACCTGCTCACTAGATACTGTTTCAGTTCTCGCAACATTAGGATTTTTTGAGTGATTATCACGAAATGAATCATTCATGCCCGCTAACGCTGGATCAACAGGAAATTGAGAAAGTTGTTCATCTGCAGTGCACACTGGTAAGACTCCTTCCACAACGAATATCGAATAACCTACAAATTTGATAAATTTCAGAAAGACAATGTATAAATCCTATTTAATGAAAGATTTCAGCGATCTATCTACAAATAAAATTTCTGTATGCACCACCTTCCATAGCTCTGGAATATTTTTATTTCTAACGTAAAACAGAAGTGTAATATGAAACGCAGTAAACTTTATTTTAAATGAGGGGAAATAGCAATAATGTCAAGTCATATTATCATATTTTTAATGTCATATCTTTGCCAGAAAATTACAAATTAAAACCAAGAATGATGATCTGTTTCTAACCACTAAGATAATTAAGTTAACTGAAGATGATCTTTTTATTCACCGTCATTGATTAGCTGGGCAAAGAACAGATGGAGATAAGTATCAGAAATAAGTTTTGGTGTTGGAAGCAAGGAATTTAACGTGAACCACTGGAAGCCCAAACGACGAACAGCAAACCAGTGTTCATTCAAATTGCATATATAAGCTTGACCTAATCTGTAAGTAAAATATTTCGTTAAAAATTTAAATAGATTGACTAATTAGCAAACTATAATTGGAGTGTGGATATAATATAATAGCTTAAAAGAGTTATTTTACGGAAAGAAAACGAAGACAATTAAGCAAGGGTTTCGTGACACGAAAAATAGAATTCCTTCAATTTAATTCCAACTCTTGAATTCGGGATGTGCAGCGAGATATTTACGAAATTAAAGAAATGTCGGGCAGAAGAAAATTTTGAACAGCAATTTCTCATCAATCAAATCAACCCTTACGTTGGGTCATCGCGATATGCCGCAGCACGAGGATTGTTAAGCGGAATAAGTTCCAGGTTGAAAACTTTAAGCGCTTCAGCAATAACCTAAAATTATTACAGAAATCAAATTCAAAGAATAGCGGATAAAGGCATGATACAAATGAGATTTCGCTTTAAGGAGCCACTCCTATAATTTCTAAGAACGATGCTTTGAGTTATTCTATACAATAAACTTTCAATGTTCAACTCATAAGATGCAGTATGATGGAACGGATGAACTCCGAAGATGATATCTGAGCCAAAAAGTAACAATAATTGAAACTCTTTGCGCAAGCTATCCGAGACCGGCTTAAATCCAAAAAAAAGAACCTGAGAATTGAAGAGAATAGAATTTATTTACCTGCAGCGAGAAAAAACCCGAGTCGTCGACATTTTGACTCATCACATCCTGCTCATTCAATACCCTTCCTTCACGACTGTCAATGTCTGAAGCGATTTCGGCTAAATCAACAGCTGTGAAATAGGAACCTTGAAGCAACATGTTCACGGCATGTTGAGCACATAGTGATGCTTCTTGCTGTAAGAAAATATGTGACTTATTACGCTGGACAAAGTACCATAAATGCTTGGAATATGTGCTTTACTTACTCACTACAATTTGATAAGTTCTCACTTCATCAACAATTCCAAATGCTTCAACGAATAACTATAAATAAAGCATTAAATTGAAGCGTCTAATTCAAACACTAAATCCATTCTAATTAATTCAGTAATCAATTGAAAGTTTCTTTTGTAACTGCAAATTATAAATTAAACCAAGAAAGATAGTAAAAAAAATGGAAAAATAACCTTTTCGAAATGAATTGAATCCATTGGAAATAATTTGAGGGAAACTCAGAAATGAAAAAACAATATGATATTTCTTTGCAAACAACCAATAGCGCTTTCTCCAACCTTTAAATATCACCATATTTAGTTAAAAACTAAACAGAAAGACGAAACCGAATATCATGAATCACAGAAAACACTCCAAACCACTCACTAACAAAGGAGTAAAAATGCGCAACGCCACTGCTACCACCCTTCCACTAGAGAACTCCGAGACACTCTCAATCCCTATTTCTCTTCATTCTTGAAAGTACCAAAAGTTTTTTTAAGAAAAATCGTAGCATGATCCCTCCCAGTGGTTAAAGACTGGTTTTTCTATTTATTAAATTAATGAGCAGGTAACAATAACAAACTATGAGGCTATGGGATGATGTTTATATAGGTTGGGTGTGAATTTGGACGCAGTTATTGTGAGGGATGGAATAAAAATTTCGAACTATGTCATGTGAGGTTAAGTTTGAAATTCATGCTGTAATTCGATCAGCACTAAAAATCATCTCAAAAATCACTCAAACCTACTAGGCTTCTTATTATTTCATACAATTGATTGAAAAAATAATTTGAATTGTGTTGTAACGAAACTCTTTCATATCTTCCATCGCTGTAGAAGATGGATATGGAAGATTCAAACTTCGTTATCCTTCTCAGTAATCTTTTTCATCACTACATTTCAAGCTCTGTTTATTACTAGTTGTTCAGTTAGTTTTCGAATTTGATTGGATTCGTGAGATTTCTAGTAAGATCTTCAAGTAAGAACTACTTTGCTAAGAAATCTATTCATTTGTTGTAAATGTAAAATTTCCAATTTTTTAAATAAAATATTACAAGATATCAAAATCTGAAATTGGAAAATTTTTAATTGAATGCAAATTTTCTTCAAGTCCAATTTTAAAAGTGGTGCTAAGTCTAAAAGTGATATTTTTACATATATTAACATCAAATTAACTTTTTCACTTTTACATATATTAACATCAAATTAACGTTTTCGGTTCTCAATCAAGGCAAAATAAACGGAGTGTCGTGGTTAAGTACAAGAACATCCCAAGAATACTTCCGTGTATGACTGTCGTCATCCAAATCAGGTTAATGATAATAAAGTTCAAATTGTTAAAGTAAAATTATGAAGTTCACTGGTACTATTAAATAAATTTTATATTGAACTTTATTTGCCCAAATATCTTTGTAAGATGTTTTTCTTGTAGTTATCATCCAAGATGACGTTAATTTTTTTTTTAAATAAACGTTAATTTGGAAGTATATTTTTCAGCTTAATATTTTGCTAAAAATAGTTTTGATTATTGTTTTGAACGAACGTGGCTGAAAGCAGCGTAAACTAAGGAAATGACGTAATTGATATAACGTTCGTTGCATATTAAGCTACCAATTTATTTATTTCGGAACTTATTCCTTCAGCTTTTAATGTGCGTGCTTATAGTGGTTTCAATTCACGTCTCAATTCTCCCTTAGAAATGAAAGTCTTAAGGAAATCAGACAATATATTTTCACTACACAACGGCTAGGTGTCAAGAGTTGGCGAGTTCCAAATATTTTTCAGAATTCAAGTTGAACTATGGTTTTCTTATTGGCACATAAATGTGAAAAATGGAAACATATGGATTATTCGTTGTTTTTTATTCACGTAATTCTATAATATTACAAATTATAGTTTAGAAAAAATGTTGAATTTGGTTTAGAATTGAAGTTTACATGCTTTAAAGCTGCTATTATTGTTAAAATTTCCATGTAAAACTGGTTGTTAGCAGGTAGCATTTATTGCTACTGAATTTTTTAACTTTTATTACTACTGAGTTTTCGACTACAACAAGAACCAGAAGTAATAAGAAGTTTTAATTCGAATAGAGAATTCGAATTTCTAATAAAGATTAATTTAGCGCTTTATGCAAATTATCGCATCAATTTTATGCAGATTAAAATTTGTCAAGGGACAATATGTAAAGATCATTGAGAAGTAAAAATCATTCATTTACTGCTGCTACCATTAGTAACAAAGTTTTGCAGTAGCCAAATTATATGCCTGAAATAAAATCAAACGTAGAGAATGGAAAACACTCAAAATCGAATGATCAAAATGTCGAAGAAAAAAGGTCAATGAGGTCTTTTGAACAAGAATCTTGAATCTGTAGGATTCATTGATATCAGGAAGATTAGTAATAGATTTTGCCGAAAGAATAGCATCTAGACTAAGGGAGGACTATAGCAATGCTTCCAATTTACAGCATATTTTCGGATTTCGCAGAGAAGTCAATTCTGACCAGAAAAGAACAGCAAAAATAGATTAATTACCTAGCATCATTACTTTTTAATAATATCAGGAATGAGAAAAACGAATGTATGATGGAAATGGGATAAGAAAAATAGTAATAAGATGAAAATGACGTGAAAGTACATAGTAAGTTAGGGGTTGCATGTGTGCTGTTAATTTTAATTTTTGATATTCTTAAAAAGATGCTGCGAACTACCGAGCCATTTCATCCTACCAACATATTAAAAGTATATCAAATCTTAATAAATCCATAAACAATTCAAACGCCCCAAACATCTAATTTAGGAACTTAGATCACTTCGGCAAAGTTAAGACTGAAAGAAATTCAAAAAATTAACTTAAGGCCATCAATTAAAAATAATAAGTTGGAGTAATTCCCGTTCACCAAGAAATTCCTCTTACTTTTCCATTATTTTTTGTTCTATTTAAGTCAAGTCTTATTCTTTCTTCTTACCTATTTATATTATTTATGCCCATCTATCATTAGGCAATCACAAGAATGTGAGAGAAGTCAAAGTTCAAATAGTACTAACTATGATGCAAACGATCACGTTCAGTTGAAAAAACAAAATGTACCATATAGATGGGAACGATTTGAGAAAATGATTGAAGGAAAGAAAAATAGAAGTCAACATTCTGTAACATCAAGAGCTAGCGGGAAATTTGCAACAGATACATTATCAAAGGTTTTGTTTATTTTATTTATCCACTTATTCAATTATCATGAGTATGGCACTAGAAATAGATCCTCCAGTACTAAGCAATGTTTGTTGTAGAGGCCTCGAAACTAGTTGTTGTAGGATAAGTTTAGAAGTCTAACCATTTCACAACTTTTAAGTTTCTTATGTTTTGTCTTTAATTAGAAGTGATAATAAACCAACTAACCATCTATCTTAATATCCAGAAGTTTACCGAAAATCTTATTACTGGTTGAGGATACTGATAAGTGAATACTTGAGAGACTACTTGAAAATGTACCAAATACATCCCTGGTATCCTAACTGCAATGCATATTAGTCAATAGTTACTCAGTTAATTATTAAAATCGAAATTGCAGAAAGAGAATTTGAATGAAATGGAATTTGATGTTACCCAATGGCATAATACATTATGGACGAAAAGAAACAACCATTTAAAACTTCCACAATTTTCATCGCGTAATCTTCGTTAAAACTTGTAATGCTAATTTAATTAGCTGACTATATTTATCGATCAAATCTTAATTTCAAAAAATGGAATCCAAATTTTCCCTAGATCCATTCATCTCCCTTTAACTGTCCAAACTGCGCAATCTTTCCAATAACAAATCGATGCGAAAGATAGCATTGCATTAGCTTAACAAAGTACTTACACCATCAATATTTCATGAACAGAAATTTAAAATAAATGTTCAAATTACAGTTCTATGTTTACCACAGAATCGTATACGATTAACTAAAAGGAAATGTACTTAAATATTTAAATTATTTTCAACCAAAACAAAATTTTCTGTGATATATCTTTCCACGAAAAATTTTCAAGAGACTTTATAGGTCAAATAAATGAAACCTAAAGCTTTTAACATTTATTTTCATTCTTTTTTGCTTTGAATACTTTTACCTGAAATTAATTTCAGTTGGAATTAAAATGAATGAAATGAAGGATTTAATAAATTAGCTTAAATTCAATGGTAATTTATTTTTTATAGTTCGTGAAGATGATTATTTGAAAGAGAGTGTTGATAAAGGCTTAGCAGTAGATGGGAATTCACCACCTGCAATAGAAATACCGGGAGAAGTTTTCGACAAAAAAGCCGAGAAAGGAAGTTACTTCATGAGGCCTGCTGCTATATCAATTGGTATCGACAGCTTAGAATTAGTAAGCTTTATTATCTATAGCTGAAAGGAACTTGCAATGTTGAATTTTAATATTTGGAACGTTAGGAATATCATCATCTATAATTTTTTGACTACTAATTCCGGAAATGGCGAATTAAGCAACAATAACTAATTCCACAAAATGGCTGATTGTACCGAAAGAGGACAGACAAGTGCGCCAATTTTGTAAATGCATCATTTTCAGGCTGCTGCATTAACAGCAATTATAATATTGTTGTTTACAATTGATTTGAAAGATTGGAATGTGGTATATCCGTTATGTAATACTACTTTTACCGCTTCAATTATCATTTGGCTAATCATTACCCATTCTTTTCATTTATATCTTAGAACAAATAGAAATAATCAAGGAATAATCGAATGGTATATTCCAATCTCCAAAAAATACATGGTAAGATATTTCTCGTAAATTTATAATTTTATAACAGGAAAGTTTTTTTTTTTAAAATATCTTTTAATTCTTTTAATTACCTGTTGTGAATTCTGACCAGGATCGCTAATTTAATAAATGACCTTGGAGTAAAGTATAATTTCCTGTTATAAATTCCGACTAGGAACGCTAATTTAATAAATGACCTTGAAGTAAAGTAAAAAACGACGTGACAAATTTTTTAGAAATAATTTCTCATAACTTAAAATTAGTCAACATCGGAAATTCATGCCTCTTTTTTCCTTCCAGTTCATTCCTTTCAAATCACTCAATACTTCAAGACTTATTTGATAAATAAAATGAAGTTACAGTTTCTCTATGTACACATTACGCGATGTATATTTACACTAACATCAATCGCTCAAACAATCTATTTCTCTGTGATATCAATTCATCGTTTACTTTTCCATTTAGTTACAATAATATTAATCATTCATTTTTGTTGTGCGTTTGTTCACTTATATTTCGCTACAACCAATCGTTTTGTATTATCATTCAATTCAATTGAAAATACTCAACGATTATTACCACCTAAATAAATAATTTTAATCAGTTAATTAAATAATGCACAGCAAAAATGAATCATTAACATATTGCATTACAATCATTGAATCTTATCACTCTTTAAAAAAATCAAGTATAATAATCTATGATATTTGAAGATCAATGATCGAGAATGATTTGTAATTGCTATCCCATAATCATGTAATTTTTAACAATTCTAAGCATAATTTTTCATATCATGATAACATTGATAATATCTTATGATACCCATTAATGAACATAATAAACAATGGTGAAGTAATTTGAAAATAGAAGAAAGTCAGGCGAGCTTTTGATTTTCTATCTTCTATTTTCTTATCAATATTATCAATATTATCAGTGAAGCAAGGAAATTAATTTTTTCAGCAAATCGATAAAATGTATTTATTGTGAAAACTGTAAATTTCCAACAAAAAGAGAGGGCAAAAATAAAATAAATTTTAAATGGATTTTTTGAATTTCTATAACCTCTTTACCTTTTTTCATTTTTTAAAATCGGTACGCTGGAATACGGGAAGATTCTGGAAGGCTACTGGAAGACTTCCAAGAAAGGTATTGATAAAGTGAGTACTCGTATTACTTATTGACCTAGAGTTATACCATTTTCGTATCGCCAATTTACTGATAATTAATTCATGACTTTGAATTTTTAAGGAAAACTTTCATTTAATGGAATATAAGTGGGTCTATCAAAAAAATTATCATATTTTAATTTCAACCAGAATTAATTTACTTAATTTAGGATTCAACAGAGTTAATTTAAAGCTTAATATTTAAAATAATATCATAATTAATCTCATTAATATTTTTTTTTTTCGCAATTGTTATTTTACCTTGAAAATTTTCAAACGGAAACATTTTTAACTTATCAAATTGCTTCGTAGAAGTTGGCCAAGTATTAAATGCTGTCCTTGCTATCCTGATTCCTTTTCAGGAAATAAAGCTAAATGAAAAAGATATTTTGTTTATTTGATTTATTTCTTAGCAGCCAAAAGTTAAACTTAAAACAGCTTTATTCTTTAGAAGGATCTTGTAACCATATCTTTTTCACTTTAAAATTTGGCTTCCATCCTTTCATTACAACCTGAAATATATGGCTCAAAAACTACCACAACATATTCAGGCATTTCTAATAAACTAGAAAAAGAAATGTTAGGCCTTTTCTAAATTATCCTAATAATTGTCCATAATGAATTTAGCTGTGATCATTTAGATTATCTGAAATTTCATTCCAAAAAAAAAGAATATTCATTAATGAATATGCAAAGTATAGTAAAATCTGTTAACTTAATTTCATGCAAATTTTTGCTAATTTAGATGGCGAAAATTTTTTAAAACAATTTTTTTACTTTTCGTCGTCCCTTTGGATCAATTATCGATAAACGAGATTGTTTTGGCATAGAACTACTGGTAGCAAAATATTGTTCTGCAGATGATTGATTTTTATTCTTTCGTCCTTTTTTATATTTCTCAATTTCATCTACTTCATCTCGTTTTCCACTCATTTCATCTTCATCTAAATCAACTTGTCTCATTCATTATCATTAGGTTGCATAATCATTATTATCAAATCAATGTATGATTGTAATCTAGGAGCCAGAGAGAAGGAGAAAGAGAAAGAGAGAGAGAGATAAACATTACGATATATGATATCCTTTCGATGAAATTCATAAATAAATTGCCTTTTCGGTGATATTTCAATTTTTAACATTCATTTCACCTTTGATTATTTTATCAGCATAAAATATTATGAACTAAACTAAACTTAAACGAATACGATCGATAAATTTTGATACTTAATTTTACTGAACCTAATAACGTTGAATATTTTGAGAAATTGTTTAAACAAATGATGCAAGACGATTGTAAATTTTCAAATTAACTAATTGATATAATAAGCAGGAATTTATGATCAAGAAATGTAAGAGAAGAACAAAAGAGAAAGGTGAAGGATCAAATTATACTTACGACCGATACTAATAAATAAAAGCTATATTTTGTTCATACGTGGTGGAGAAATTTCAGCGGATAGTTTACGTCCCGCAGTACGCATAATTTTCTTCTTCTTTTTTTTGGTTTTATGTTTCATTTTTGAATCTTAATCAGTTTAAAAAATGAGCCCATTCAAAGATCATAACAAAAATTTCAATTTTAAATAAATTTTTGAAAATTTTGAATAGTTTAATTTTTAAATTCAATTTTCAAAATTTTCAAATTTTACTTTCTGATAATTTAATGTTAATTTTTTTTAAAATTACTTTGAGTAATTTTAATTTTAAATTATTTCGTAAAGATAAAATAATGTTTTCATTCAATTAGATTTGATGCTATTCATTTCATTTTAGTTTCACCTAAACTCATTTCAGATATCATAAGATAAAATATTTGGATTATCAACTATTGATAAACGCTAACGATGAAGAGATGTATCAGAATCTGATCGTTTAGCATCATGAATACCAATGCTATCACTGGTTGTTATTTGCTCATCAACTTGAAGGTTGATGGAGTTTTCATTTCGATTCCTACGATGTGGTTTCGATTGTGAACTGTCGGACTTTTTTGATCTTCTACCCGTTTTTTGTTTGACGAGCTTCTTTGATACTTTCCCCTCTGATTGCTGATAAAAATATGTTTAGTATAACTGTTATCATGGAAGATTGTTAGTGATAACATCAAATTATTATCTGTTGTCACTTGTAATACATTTATGATGGAGAATTACATTGCAACCTTTGTCATCTGATCTGTGCATAACATTGTTCTCGGGTTAGATTACAAAATATAGTTCAATAGTTCAAACTAAAAATAAAAAATAGAACGTGTAAGTTATATATAGGACTATCCTATAAACGGACAAACGTACAAATTCTGCACAACTTTCAGCATGTGAATTATCATCTTTGCTTATGGATTCATCTTGAGCACTTGAAGGAGCGCTATGGAATACTGGGGTTGATATAACTTGCTTTGATGATGACATGGTTTCTTCATCAGCAAACCTAAAATTATAAAACTTAATGAACACTCTCTCTTTATCCATGTCACTGAGATGAGGATGACATTTAGACTAAATTTCGACAACTATATTTTTAACCCTACTTTATTCAATCTTTGTCTTCATGTTAGTATAAGGAAATGAAATATTCAAAGGATAAAAAGGAAGAAGATAAATTTAAAATAAAATATTGTATTTATCGGATAAGCAAAAGTTAGGATCTTTCGTACTCGTCAATTTTAGGCTTTTGCATTCGTAATGATTGCGATTGCTGAAATTGTTTTGATTGGTGTTGAATTGGTGTTAAACGATGTGTAGTAGTGATTTTCTCCACTCGTTGCTGAGAAGAATTCTCGTAATCCGTGGGTTGATTTAACTTCTGTTGATGCAAGTTAGATTGGCGTTGAGTTTCATTGCTAAATTCGTTAAGTTGTTGAAACCCTTCACTAAAATAAGATCGTTGTTGAAATAATATGGGATTTTTTTTACTCTTTATTCATACAAATTTTTCAATTCAAATAATTATCTGATAATGATGATTAAACCTGGGATGACTTTGATCCGTTTGACGATGAGATACTCCTCTCCGTTCATCTAATTCGACATGTTGTTGTTGTTGTTGTTGTTGCAGATCGATCACTTTTGATTGTTTTTGATACAAATTATTGGATTTAGGTCGCTGCTGTTGATGAGCACGATTAGGAAAGCCATCGTATTCACGCATAAGCATTATTGATTTTTGATCGAGAGATATGAAAATTCGATCACTGAGTCTTAAATTTCGTTCCTCATCGTTTACGGGGAAACGCAATAGATCCATAATCTTCCAGGATGCACTATTTATCTTTCGTGGATATTGCGATATCGCAGCTGGCAATATATCATCTGACTGCAACTTAATGCTATTTCCATTTCTAATATCAATTATGCTATGCTATGCTAAATATTTGATAAAAAATTCTTCAAAATATTCAAACTTTAAAATTTCCAATGAATCTAGCATATTGTCAAAGTTAAATGGTAATGTTGCAGGGGTAACTTTAAGAAAATATTTCCAATATATCTTTATTGCCCTCTTTTCAAAAGTAAGTAATCTCTTACAATTCCTTCAACATTGTAACCAAGTGCGCTTCGCATATGCGCTGCAGAAGCTTTAGTTTTTCCTGTATTTGTTTCACTCATCCTTACTAAAATTACATATTAGAAGTAAGGCCTAATTTTGATTTGATAAAAAATTCTTTAAAATATTCAAACATTAAAATTTCACTAACATTCACTGAATTTCAGTTTACATTAAAACTTCGATAATTCACTTTTTCTCTAACTTCGATAATTCATTTTCTGCAGTTTCTAAAGAAGGAAATGTAATCAGTGAATGTTAATTATTATGAAGTCGCTTAATTCTTTCTCCAGTCTAATTAACGAGGTATTACTTATTTACTGAATTCATACTGAGAAGATTTCTACGATAATAGGAAAAATATTAGGTATATGTAAATTCTGAAATTAAAAATTAAAAATTAAAAATGAAATTAAAAATTTCGATTAAATTTGATGATTATAAAGATTCGAAAAGAAACCTGTTTTGTTTTTAACATTTATTATCGTATCATCACGCCGCGTCTTCAATTTTAACAACATTTGTTCAGTTCGCTTTAGTGCATCTTCGATAATTTGACTGATATATTGATAAGCATCTGATACACATTGTGATTCACTCATCTGAATGAGATTTCTGATGGTTAAGAAACGGAATATTGAATTATATTCTTAATATCAGTTCATTCATTTAGCGATTCTTTTAAATTCAATGTATGCGAACTTTTTGTCGAATGAGAAATAGAAATTTTTATCAAATACAACAATATGTTATTATTGTAAGTTTTATTCCATGCGACTTCAATAATAAGATTCATGCGACGCTTGCTAATTAATCCATGTGTTAATTTATTAATCCATGCGAAAAATTAATTAATCCATGCGACACTTGCTCTATCTTATCATCAATGATAAAATAAACATCATTGATAATATCATCAGGTGGAGCAAGAGCAGGAGAGAAAGTTTGATAGTGCAAGTTTAATCGCTTTCACTCCAAATGTAAAGCTTTTTGTGTAAAAATTATCTTTCATACCAATACAGAAGAAATTTCGATACGTACCACTTAGCAATTAAAGTTGATAAAAAATGAAGCTGTCACGATATGTAAGGTGTTTAAATTACAAAATTTTACTTTCAATTTTAAATATGCAAAATGTACATTGAAATTTTTGAAATTTTGTTAGAATTTCACTACGATAACTAACGCTGACGACGTGTGGTCTATTAGAGATGGCCAAAAGTAAGTAGGCTAAAAACAATTCTGTTTTAGTGTATAACTTGCTGAGCAAAATGATGAATGAGTGAAATTTAGATGTCTAAGTTGCCGTAGGAATTTATCAAAAATCGATTTGAGGATTTCTCATTAGTTAGATTTTAATAATTAGTTCCAATTTTAAATTTGACTCATCAATGGCGCAAAAAATGGGAATTGTTGAAAATTGTAGAAATTCGATCTTTATACTTATATTACATTATTTGCATTCAGGTAATGCGTTTAGGAACTTCTGGATTATATTAAATGATTTTTTTTGATCACAAGTTGGATTCTAAAATACTTCGATCATAACCATTTATAAACATTGAGATTTATGGGTGCAGAAAACTATAGTTTTAGGAATATTAACTAGACGAAGAAGTATTAAAGAAAGAGAAGAACAAAGTGATGCGGAAGCAAAAACGCGAACTGCAAAAAGTAAGAGAAGTAAAGGTAAACTTGATATCGTTAATTTATTACATTATATATCATTTTCGACCAAAAGAACTAATTAATTTGAAGTATTAATCATATCGAAGTATTAATCATATAATGTCGTTCAAAAATATCGCACAATTTAAATGGAATGCTAATTAATACAATTAATTAACCTACTGTTTTTAGGACAGAGTACTCGAAAATATACACATTGCAGAAAGTCAATTTCTGTACGATCCATGAGAGTTCAACCAAACTTCGCTTTATCAAAGTTTATCATTTTATAACTGAAGTTTTCCTAGCATATGGATCGAGTTTTCTTACAGCCATATAAGAAGAAAAACAATAGTTTAATTAATACTTAGAAATTATCCCTTGTTAATTCACAATTTTAAAGTTAACTTTGAAAGTATTAATTATGAATGAAACTAATTACATTATAGTTTAAGTTTTTATTCTATGTAATGTTTTGAAAATGTACTACTAATTTAGAGTAACTTCTGTGGTTCCATTATCGATTCGTATTGCTAATTCAAAGGTACGGTAAATTACAAAGAAAAAATCAATAAAATACTTTTGTTATTTCTTTTACACATATATCATTGCAACTGCAACTTCAGGAGAATTCTTTTCCTTATGATAATTTCTATTCCATCTAAAAGATAATTTTTTTTTTTCACTTCCTAAACTTTATTCTATTAATGAGAAATTTGTTAATTTAATTGATTGCTTTTAAGGTGCAACGATCATATCCGATTACTTTACTCGGAATAACTAATGCTGAAACGATTGATCTAATATTCCCTAATTGGTTCAATCAAGCATTCGTGGAAACTAGAAATGTTGCTACTTATCGACCATATAATCTCAATATGCCATCATCTTTATTAAGGTCTTTGTTTATTGAAATCGTAAAATATAGGTGGCAAGAATTTTTACCTAGTGTCAAAGCAATAGATTAGGAAAATTTTTGATTAACTGAAAGAACACCAAACTGTGTTAATTAGAGTAAAAAACGGATGATCAAAAGATTAATCGAGAAGTATGGAAGGAAACGGTTAGAAGAATTGTTACCAGATGATCAATTCCATCTTTACTAGTATCAAAACACTAGATTAAGAAATTTTTTGATTAACTGAAAGAAAATCGAATTCTGTTGATTAGAGTTAAAAACGGATGATCAAACGATTAATCGGAAAGTATAAAAGGGAACGATTAGAAGAATTGCAACCGGATGATCAATTTCACTTTTACTGATATTAAAACATTAGATTAAGAAAACACCTTTACTAGTATCAGAACACTAGATAAAATTTCGATTAACTGAAGGAACACCAAATTCTGTTGATTAGACTAAAAACGGATGATCAAAAGATTAATCGGGAAGTATGAAAGGAAACGGTTTGGAATTGACCGTCTGGCTGCAATTCTTTTTGTATTTGATATTAACATTTTCTTCATTAACCTATTTATTGTAATTTATAAGCTAATTTCATTTAGATTTTCATTTTCTAATTTCATTTAATTTCATTTAGATGAAAAAAATTCCAACATTCATTGAAACACAATTTAGGCGATCAATTGCACATTATCAGGCAGATTCACCGATCACTGAACATGGGAAAATTTGTGCTGCATTAATTGGACGAGGTATTCTGCTTGCCAATTACCAACCTAAAATCGTAAGTTTATAAGACATTTTCATTTTTTTTATTTGATACAAAAGATTGTTGAAACTTTATAAAATGCAACAAAGAAGTTGTTGATAAATTTGAAAAATAATTTTACACAGATTTTCACATCGCCCGAATTGCGATGCATTGAAACAGCTCGTTCAATTCAACGTTCCATGCATATTGGCAATTGGAGCTTATGTGTAGAACCATCATTAGTTGAATATTCCGGATTTCGGGATAATGCCGAGAAATACTGGCTTACAACTACACAGGTACACACGCACACACACACATTTATTTCTCGTAAATCACTTTCATGATTACAAATGATCCCAAAGAATAATCTAGCAAGTAGTATCAAAAGCAACTAAAAAATTCTAACCTTTTTTCCTGACAAATCCATGTAACAATGCAAATAAATAATTTAATAATAGAATCGAATTAATTCCATTATCACTATCACTATCAGTATCAAAATATCACATGTAGATATATAATTATTTTTAACTTAATCAGTCCAACAAATATATTTTTGGCTTATAATTTTTAGTTGCAACAAGAAGGTTATCTTCCAATCAATCAAACCTATATACCGCTATTAAAACTTAATCAACTGTCAAGAAATGAGACACCGCAAGAATTTGTACACAGACTACAACGATTTTACGAACATATTATTGTAAATTTTGAACACAGGTCATCTTTTTTTTTGTCCGCTTAATCACTTTATTCTTTTTTCATTTCAAGTTTAAGAGTTCAAAGTGTAATTTTTAAAAGTGAGATAAATATTCGTAAGATAAACATAATTCCGAAAAAAAAAAGAATGTAGCCTATAATTAATTCATCAGGTGTGAAATTAGTTAAGGAGATAAATGTTCGCAAGATAAACATAATTTTAANGAATGTAGCCTATAATTAATTCATCAGGTGTGAAATTAGTTAAGGAGATAAATGTTCGCAAGATAAACATAATTTTAATTTTTTTGTATAGCCCATAATTAATTTATCAGGTGTGAAATTAGGAAATAAGTAATCGCAGGATGAACATAATTTTAACTTTTTTATATAGCCCATAATTAATTTATCAGGTGTGAAATTAGGAGATAAGTAATCGCAAGATGAACATAATTTTAACTTTTTTATATAGCCTATATTATGTTTATATATAATCTATATTAATTTATCATGTATAAGATTAGTCAAAGAGATAATATTAATAAAATATAAATTAAATTTATAAGCTAAAAAAGTGTATCTCCCATTTTTTCAATAAGTCACATTATGCAACAAATTTTGCAAAATTTCAACTTTTCCTTCAATAGTATTACCGTATCTTGTTCGTTTCACCTTGCTTACCTCAATTTCATAATTAATATTTAACTGATAAATATGAAAAATTCTTATCCGATCGGTAAATATGTAATTTCCGCGAAAATTCCTATTGAAATCTTAAAAATTACTGTTGATTGTTTCCTTTAATCTGAATAGAATATTGAAATGATAAATCATTAAGACTAAAAATCAAACAGACTGTTTTTTAAATAATTATGGATTTAACTGAATTTCGTATTTCACATTTTCCATCACTTATTATCATCGTATCCTTAAACTAAGGAAAAATGAAAAGAGCGATATGATTGTATCGGAGTGATACGAAAAAGAAAAGAATTAAATTTGTCAATTTCATTTCTCTTAATTAATACAAGAAATGGATTTGTAATTATTACTTAGTTATGAAATCATTCATTTTCTTCACAATAAAAATAAGAAGTAGAAATCTTTTTAAATTTGCAATGCTTTAGCACATAAGTTATTCATTGTAATTTTGCTAATTAGCTAAATAATTAGCTTAAGTCAAAATATATCAACAATTTTGCATATAAATTTAAATACATATAAAGTGTTTTGAATTTTAATTTTAACAATAATACTACTACTAATAATAATAATAATATAACCGTATAGAATTTAATTCAAATTATTTAATTTATTCAAACAATCAATAGTTTCATTTTAGTTAGTGACAGATTTTAGGAGATCGTTATTTTTCTTCTCCACTCAAAAATAGTAATTTACAATGTGCTAAATAGTGTGTTAGTATTTAGGACGAGCAATTATTTCAGATGTGTCGTAATTGTCAGCAATATTACTGGAATTTTTGTGCTCAATGATGGTATTGCTATTGTCCCAATGCATCTGCAAGAGTCTCACGCTTATATGAATAGCTGTCATCTATGTGCTATTGAAGTCACATCTGATGGCAAAGTCTGATTGCGGCATTTTTGCTTTCTAGGATTACTAAAAAAACAAAATTTTAAAATTTTTACAATTAAGAGAAACTAAGGAAAACTTTTTTTAAAAACTATCATTATAAGGAAAATGAATCGGTAAAGGTTTTATTTAATAATTTACAACTTTCCTTAACCAGATAGGTATTAAAACTCTTGTTACCAGCTAGAATACTCTGCAAAAATAATCATAGCTAGAAATGTTTTATTTAATAATTTGCAACTTTTCTTAACCAGGTAGATATTAAAAAACTACTCTGCAAAAATAATTATAACTAGGAAAAAGACAAACCTGTCAATAATTTTTAATCTAAGAAAAAAAAAACGAAATTTCAAAAAGTGTCGAAAAGTTTAAATTAAACTCATTCTATCAGAAATATTAATAAACTCTTGCACTTATAGCTAGTTTCTTATCATTTAAAATATTATCTTGTTGAAATTTCAGATTGAATCTGTTAGCAATCCTATTCTACCACTAACTCGAACATTATTTGACGCTAGAAATAAAATTCGAAATTAAGAAGTAACTCAATTATTCAGCATAATATCCATATTTATCATGGAGAAAAGAAGCTAATCATCATAATCACAATAATCATTTGTATTTGTGAATAGAAATTTTATAATAAAAAAAAAAAACGTTTTACATATACCACGTATCACATAATAAATTATCATAAATTCAAATGATTATCAATAAATCACCTGATTTTAATTCATATAATTTTTTGCAACAGATTAGATTCAATATCGGGTATAGTCGATCTGTTCACATATGATTTTTCTTTGATTATCACTTTCACTAGACTCAATATCGGGTATAGTCAACCTGTTTAATTTTCACTTTCATTAGACAGATTAGATTCAATATCGGGTATAATCGGTTTGTTCACGTATAATTTTTTCTTTGATTTTCATTTTCACTAGACAGATTAGATTCAATATCGGATATAGTCGATCCGTTCACGTTTAGCCGATTTCACAACTAATTGTTACAGTTTTAAAATAGAAATAATCTTCATTGAGCCAAAGGTTAACTCATTTAATATTCCTACTCTTGACCTCTTAATCACACAATAATTTTATGTAATTTTTTAAATTAATTAAATTGCTTAGATTGTATTCTTTTTAGTCGATCGAAATGAATTGAATAAAAACGCTTTGATCTATGCTTCTATCTTCTTTCTGTGAACTTTTTTGTAAATCATTTTCAGATTATCTATGATCGCAATACTATTTCATCTTAGATATTCAGATGTTATTCACTAAGAACTTCTCTTGAACTTATATTGAAATTTAAAAGTTAGCTAAGATTGTTAATTTGCAATGTTCGTTACCATTGATGTCTAAATTTTAAAACTTATTTTAAACATCAGTTGCTTCTTTAATACTTAATTCATCTTATTCCATTAAATATACTAAATAGAATATCAGCCATGTTTATATTTTAGTATAAAAATTTATTAAGAAAAATTAAAAAGAAAAAAATTCGAAAAAATTTTGTTCCATTTTGAAATCCATTTTGAAATTTGAATATTTGAAAACGATAGTTCTAATTTATCCTAAAATTATTTTTAATTAAATTAAAAGAATTTCTGCTCTCATTGTAAATATGCAAATCAGTATAGCTAATGACTGTCACGAAGGTTTTATTTTCTATCATAATAATTGTGAAGTTAAAATTTTCATCAATGTAACAATATAAGGAATATTTCATCAAAATTACTTTTCCCTTCCAATTTTTCAAAAATTCTTTTCGATTTTGTCAATTTACCAATATTTGTAATTGTCAGCTGGCAATTTGATGGATTTAGATATTACAGATTACATTTCAAATATTGTTAGCTTTTTATCGTTTGACTCACTCCTCATATCGGGTAACAAATCATTTGATTTGCATTTTGAAAAGACAATAAGAGGAGATTATAGAATGTATATACGATGGATTGAAGTAATTTATCATTTAATGGGTGCAAATGTCCTTCCTATTCCATCTTTACCCATTCCGCTCGCTCTATCATCGTTGCCGTAGTAGTAAGACGGAATGCGATAAATATTAAAGATCATATTTACCATATTTTGTAACTATTTGTTGATCATTGATTTTAAAAAATCCGATAAAATCATACACATCATATAATCATCAATTTTAGATTAATTTCTACTTATAAGAATTATTTCAAAATGTAGTCGTCGCTATATTTAAATTTAAAAATAGTTTCCTTCGGAATGATGAAAATTCATCAATCGTTATAAACTATGTTAGAAAAACTATTTTATTAATCATTTCTGTTCGTAATCGAAGTAGGAAGATTTCCGAAACTGAATAAATTATTTTACGAATCATTTCCGTTCCTAATCAAAGTAGGAAGATTTCAGAAAATGAATTAATGAATGGATTTAAATTTTTCAAAACAAAAATTTCACTCTCTTCTTATTATAAAACTCTCTGAAAGAAGAAAATGAAATAACTAAAATGCATAAATTAGGAAAGCGAAAGTGAATAAGTAAAATATGCTAAAATTAAGCTTATTAAATCTGAAATTACTACCACTTCTTTCTCTCTACTATATATTTTATATAAAAATTGTAATTCCCAACAGAATAATATTTTTTAATGAATGGAATAAAGACTGGCATTTACATAAATGTGATGAAGACTGGCATTTACATAAATGTGCTACAATTACAACTTATCGTATTTGAAAAAAAATCAATTGTTGAAATTTTTAGATTTCAGAAATTTCAAATTTTAGAATTTTAGATAATTGATATTGTGTAATGAAAACGATCACAGGCTTTGGTTTATGCTTAGCATTGATATTATTTGATGAAAACGATCACAAGCTTTAGTTTATGCTTAGCATTGATATTATTTAATGAAAACGATCACAGGCTTTGGTTTATGCTTAGCATTGATATTATTTAATGAAAACGATCACATGCTTTGGTTTATGCTTAGCATTGATATTATTTAATTAAAACGAACATATGCTGTCTTTTATGCTGACAGATGAATTTTTATCATTACTGAATAATAGTTTAAAATTTCTTGCAAATGAAGTGTAAAATTCAGGTAGCAAAAAAAATTAAGCAAATTTTGAATTTCAAAATATGAACAAAACATATGCAAAAATAAATTATATTTAGAGATCTAATACTAAACCATTATCATTTACATATATTCATTAACTTAAAATTATGACTAAACCATTATCATTTATAACTTATGACTAAACCATATGACTAATTATCATTTACAACTTATGACTAAGCCATTATCATTTACAACTTATGACTAAACCATTATCATTTACATATATGTAAATAACTTAAAATTTTACACGAATTCATAACCTTAACTTTATGATACTAATGAAGTTTGCTATAACCACGCATTGGTAACTGTTAATTATCCAATAATTGTTAACATTTTATATGACCTAATATCGAATTATTGAATTGCATAAAATACAAATGCAGTAAAGCTACTTATGAAATTTTTGGAAACATTAAAATGCTTTGTTGAAATCTTAAAAAATAACATATTCATGACAGATAACTGGTGAAAATTCTTAAAGCATATAATATACTTTTTGTAGTCATTGTTAAATTATGTTTCGAAAGCCTGTTTTATGTAATTCATAATTTTTATTTCTCAAATTTAATTTTTAAAGAAGTTGTAGGAAATATTTTCATATACGATTTAATATGCAATAAATATAATTTTATAATTACCGCATGCATAATATATCATTTAGGATATTTTATTTCTACATTTTATTGTCTAATCGAAGAAATAAATATTTCTCTTAATCTCTATTTAATATAGAAGAATAAAATATTATCGAACTGGATAGACTAATCCTTCAATTTGAAGCTCCTAATATTACTAACTAATCTTAGCCTCATTTTGATGAGTATATCAGTTGGTAATATATATATATATATATATATATATATATATATCTTCCACAATTGCAAAACTCGTTTCAAAATAGCAAATTATTATACTTCAAAATATTATTTGATCATATTTCATGGATTGATTTATTTAATTTAAAAACTGATTTATTTCAAATTTCTTATAAATGTAGAAATTATTCATGAAACTTATAAATGAATATAATTTGAGTAAACGATTAAAATGTAAAAAGAATGAAAATAGAAATTAATTCATTTCAAATTATTATACTTTAAAATATATTAATTGATAATATGAATTGATTTACTTAACTGAATTGATTTATTTAACTTAAACTGATTTATTTAACTGAATTGATTTATTTGAGTTGAACCGATTAATTTCAAGTTTCTTATAAATGTAGGAATTAATCATGAAACTTATAAATGAATATAATTTAAGTAAATGATTAAAATGTATAAGAATGGAAATAGAAATTAATCCATTTCAAATTATTATACTTCAAATTATATTAATTGATAATATGAATTGATTTATTTAACTTAAACCGATTAATTTTAAGTTTCTTATAAATGTAGAAATTAATCATAAAACTTATAAATGAATATAATTTAAGTAAATGGTTAAAATGTAAAATAATGGAAATGGAAATTAATTCATTTATAATTTATTTATTTGCTCTAAGAATTTTTTGCTAAAATTTAAAATTTGTCAATAGCTATTATGCAATATATTTGTTTATTGGCTAATGAACTTTTTTTTAACGTATAATATGTAAATATTTGTTAATTATTATTAAGTTAATTAAAATAATTGAAGTTGAATTTTTATTCTTAGTTTCTTAAACAAAAAAATCTGTCAATTATTTCGTAGAATTGGTAGAATGTTCGTTCAATTATATATAGAACTTTATGCTTTTTTAATATGAGGAAAAATTGCAGATCGAATTTTAGATAATTTATACGACAAGAAATATTTTCTTTGCCATTTTACAGAACTATTAACAAGGCTAGTTAGCATATCAATTTTAACTCTAAAATAAGGCGGAAATATGATGA